AATATAGGCTGATACTTGCACATTGCCAGTGATCTCAGAGTAAAGAAAGGAAAACACATATTATGTTAACTTAGTTTCCAGAAAAGTCATTTCAAAAGGATATGAGAGCTAAGAATACGAAGTGTATTTTTTTCCTGGTTTTGGTAACTACTGATGATCACTAGGTTATAGAAGTTGGCTTCTATATGACCTGTAAGTACAAAATTATCGCTGTGAGGAAATCAGCCAGCATGCTGACAAGTACAATGTGAACTCACATTCAAGGTTTGTTTAAGCTGAAATGTTCCATAGCATCTGCAAAGACAAAACCTTCCTTACAGCAGTGCTTAACTTCACTATAATTACTAAATTATACTGTAACACTTCCCCCCATAATCCTTGTTCCTTACACCAAATTCATCCTTGACCTCACACTTCCTTGTGTAATTCAAGCTTCAAAAATTAGCTAAACTCAAACATGTTAAGTGTGCTATATTCCCCAAAATAGTCTTTTTCAGGAGAGCTGTTCATAATTCAATATTGTAGCTTCAGATTTGTACCTCTGAAGTTACCAAAGGCTTCCTTTCTCTGTCAAAGGATGTTTCAGTTAATGGGTGTTTTTGCTGAATAGCATCAGGTATTATGGTTATCTCAAAGCATGACTTCTCTTTCAGGTTGGGCAAGGGGAAAAGGGGGAAGTAAGTGTCCAAAAAGCTTTCACACCAGTTGAGGTACTGTGTGCCCACCTTGCTCCTACCTCAAAAAATAATCTAGAATGATGACAGAACATTGTTATTGTAAGTTTATAAAATATTATCTAAATTAAAATGTACCAGTATAAATACGTTAGGTTTTTTTTTTGTTCCATAACTTACTTGAAATCATTGCTGTATGTATGGTAATAAAATTGAGTAATCAGCCGCCTCATGGCAGGGACAGGCATATGTGCGCTACCTCTTGCTGTTTGGAAATGTCTGGGGTCAAGCACTGTTACAGCACAGATTCCACTATTACATGAAAACACCTACTTGCTTTCTCAGAAACGGAAAATGTGGTACCAGAGCAACCAAGTCTGATCTCTTGGCTCACCACCTGACTGGCCCAGTCCTACAGCTTCTGGAGCAAACGCAATTGCTTCTAGTTCGTATGTATGTGTTACACTTCAGTGTCACTTCAGTTGATAGCCAATTAAAAATGTACAGCAACACGTTAGGCTAACAGCTCCAGCACAGTATGCAGATCTTGACACAAGAAGATGGGAGACACCAGCCTGTCCATGCTACATGGATTCACATTGCAGATTTGGAGTTTGTACTGCTCAGGTTTGTTGCTGCTTTCCTCCATTCCTCACTGGTCATTGCTGTTATCAGTAACGACTCACCAGAAGTCTGCAAATTTTACACCCTTTCTTTCTCACGAGAACAGTTCGCCTAAAAACAGGCTTTCACGACGTAGACTCCTTTTCTTCCCCGAAGCTGGCTATGAAGGTCAGACCTGCATCAGAGCTTGAATCTTAATTTCCTCCAGCTCTGAAAAGTACTCTGGATTTCTGGCTCTAGCCTTCTTTTCAGTTTTTGAGCTGTGAGAGAAAGAAGGTACAGCCACCTCCCTCTATAAAATTAGTATTTTTCATTATGCAACCACACTCTATGAAATTAATCATTAAAAAATGTGCCAACACTAACCAGGGCAGAAGGAAAATGCAGTACACCCCAACAATTCCCTAAGTGCTGACGAGTAGGGACCTACCACTGTGGGATGCACTTGCGTGTCCCTTGCTCAGTGCATATGTGCTGTTTCTGGGACCTACACTCTCTATACATTCACTGGCAAACCCAGATTATGAGGGAAAACTACTAAAACAAATCACAGTACTCGTTCATCACAGCTGGATACTACCTAAAATAATCTTAGCAATAATCTAGCTAGGAGACACATTCAGCAGTAAGAACCAAACCCAAATCTAAGAGACATTTTCCCACTAACCTATTAGAAAATACATAGCATGGGTTTACATAGTTTTACAAATTCTATAAATCCAAATTATATTCCTTTAGCTAAGCTAAAAATTGTATTCTTGTAATAAAGCTTAAGTAGTAAGCATCCTTTTTAAATCCATGATTTTTAGAAGCTTATCTTTCTTGCTGAAAGAAGCAAACAGTCTCCCTTCTGGGATCTATCACGACATACAAGAAATTCAAATAGCATTTTTTTAAATCTGAGAAACAAAGTATTTCCTCAAAAGACAACTATTCAGCCAACAATAAATGCAGTAAGTACTATATAATGCTTTAGGTAAAACTATCCTAAGGCAAAGCTTGAATTCTTATTTCTCTTATTCTCTCAAAATAGCAAAGAGGAGAGAAACAGGAAATTCTCTCAAAAATCAGAAACCCACACATAAGAAAGGTTAGCTACAACTTTAAACCTAGCAATTCTTAGAAGAAACAGGATTATATTTTAAATAAATCTTTGGCTTTAAAAAGTATTTTTAAACTGGCTTAATAAACATCACCACTGAGAAAATTTCTCTGCCCAGCTAATGAGTCTCACATGCAATTTTTTTAATCTCAGAAATACTGACAAGACTGCTAAAAAATCCCGTTAAACCTCAATGTGCTGTAGTACTGCAATGAAAGATACCTGTGTAAAAACAGGACAAAAATGTCTGCTACAGATTTGTCACTGTAACACACACAGCCTGTAAGCAGCTGCGGCAGCTGAGGCTAAAGATTGGGCTGTTTGAAGCTTCTTTCCCCTTTTTGCAAAGTAACTGCTTAAGTACATTGCTTCCTTTGTTTTGTTGGTATTTTAAATCTTTCACATGACAAAAGAAAAAGCAGTAGCATGCCACAGTATGTTGTATTCAGACATTTACATTGACACAGAACTGAAGGAATTTAATCACAGTGCAATGTATTCCCAATATATTAACTGCAATAAAGTTCTATAATCAAGTATTTAGCACTTATAATACTGATTCTCAATTAAAATTATTAGGTATCACAGGTTTAGGACAGATTAATATATACAGTTTCTGCCAAAGAAGGAAAATTATAGACTCTCAATTCAATTATGAAGAACATAAGCCTAAAATTTAGCATAATTAAAAGCAGCTTAAATATCAGTATAAAAGGTATCTTAACTAGTATTGACAATGCATGGTTAAATCCAACCATGTAGGCAATGCAGAAGTTACTGTGTTGCTTCATTTGCGTTTATTTTTATGCTGCTAAGTCAGCTTTAAACTAAAATTTATTATTAGTAGTAGCATCATTTCATAAATTACTTTGGACTTCCATTGAAAATACAGTCATTTTAATCCTTGCACACTTTACCTTTTCAACTTCTATGTCCAAAGTCATCGAATGACTGAGTAACTTACTCAGACGCATAAAGGCCTGCAGAAGCCACAGAACCCCATAATTCAGTAGGCACAGAAAACAGGCATTTATTGCATATAGGTATCTACAACTTAGGAAAGTTAGGCAGCTGGGACACCAGCAAGCACTAGCAGTTTCAGAAAGTCTAAGCCTAATTTCCTTTTAAAAGTCTCTTCAAGTTCTAATACAGAGATTTTAATCATGCAAATACAATACCTTAAACACAAAAAAAACCCAAACAAAAAATTAAAGTAATTAACACCTATTCCATCACATTGGACCTGAATTAAAATGTCTCGTAATAAATCAGTAAAAACCAAGCACTTTTCTCTACTGAGAGTCATGGAAGATAACTTAAGTTTTCTAACTAGCTGTGACTGTGAGCTTTAACTCTCTATCGTGAGTTACCCACGAGTGCATTTAGGTAAACTAACTACTCTAAAACCCAGCAAATGAAATCTAAGTCTTACATTATGGAGCAGAAAGGTGAAACTGCAATTCAGAGGTAGGTACAAGTTAAGTCTTTGTCGTTCATAACAAGATTTAAAATTTATAGGAACTATGGCATGGTATTTTTAGGTTTGGTTTGTTTATTTTGTTAGCTGGCTGTAAGATATAACCCTTTTTCAAGTTTCAAAAACTGCAAGCTAAAATAGTTTTAATGTTATGTGCTGATTTGAAAATAAAAAAAAGAGAAATAACCAATTCCTGATCAAATGTAAGATGAGAATATCACCCACCTTCATCAGTCAAGTGATCTCATTCAGTCTTCCTGAGCTAGGAAGCAAAAAACCCTTAAGTTTTCTCATGTACTTAATTTTTCAGTAGTACATTAGATATTCATTATACTGACACTGTAGTAAGAGCACTTACATCAGTACTTTATTATGTTAATGAGTATTCTCAGAAATGTACATATCACTGCAGGGGAACATCTCACATTAGCCTTTCTACACTCACCCAATGCTAGGCATAGTGTGAAAAACACCAATTGATTGTGTCAAATCATGTGTTAAAGATTAAATAGAAATGATTATTCTTTTATTCCAATTAACAAATAGGATCATTTCTAACTGCTGAGGAATACTTCTTGCTTACAGAAATCCTTCTTACAGTAAAAACCATTTTACTAAGTGCTCACTTCAAGTATTACTGTATTACTGTGTCAAATAAATAAAACCCTTGTTTCAAGCAGAAGGTTCCAAATTTGCCTTGGGATCAGAATAACTTTGTACTAAGCAAGCTTTCTGCTTTTAGAAGTTATTTTAATCCCATGGTAAGAATATTTTGTCACATTTGACACTAAAATGTAAAGCCACTCTGGTAGGCATTGCTTTTTACAGAGGAAGTCTGCCCTTTTTGCTGAGCAAGAGATGACAGGCAGGTCAATAAATGTTAGTCTCATTTTCTGTTTATCTGGAAGCAATTCCAGTTGAGTAGAGATCAGTTGTAATAGCAGATCAATTTTTTGGATTTTGAAAAGGTGAAGTATTGTGGTATCAGCATCCTTTACCAAGCAACACAAGTGCAGGTTACTTGTATACAAGAGAGATGTGACTGCTATCAACTTTCGCTGTCAGTGAGTGTTCTGTTAGACTACGTCTGTAATTCTGTATGTAACAGTTTCTAATGTCTCATTTATGGTACCCCATCACCTCCACCATCCCCACTTTCAATAAATTCATGTTTCTTCTTTTGTCTTACTGCCAAGCACCGTGCAATGCCCAGTGCACCTCCTTTTAAAAACCGTACAAAGTTGTCTCCCACCAGAGGGCCTAAAGCAAAGAGGTTGGCTTCTTTAGTGCATTCATAAGTGTATGGATCAATCTCTATAGGATTCCCCTTGCATGTGATGGGCTGATTAGAGTGGTGACCTATGCTATGTCCTTGGTCCTTTAGAAAGAAAAGATTTGGGTGAGAACCTATCAGAACTAAGGCTACGGAAAACTTTAGAATTTTCTTCAGTCCAGAGGCACTCTGAAGAACACATTTCATTTCAGGCTTGAAGGAAAGTACATTGTGTTCAGGGAAACTCGTGTAAGCAGAATGTAGACTGGAGTCCACAGTGTGGGACTGAGTACACATCATATGATAGACCTTATGGTATTCAGGATAAAGCTTTTTAGGTAACTGTTTGAAAATTAGACTTGTATCGGTGACTCTTCTACGAAACACGTGGATTACTGGGATGTTGTTGTTGTAGGCACACAGTACTGCATCGGCTGCTGTAAGTCCAGCACCCACAATTAACACAGGGTCTGCCTTCCCTCGTAACTTTCCCTTGCTGATAGCAGCCCCGAAGTCAGACATGGAATGGAGCACAAAAGGAAAATCTTCTCCTTCAACCTGCAGTCGGCCAGGAGAGTCGAAGGTTCCCGTGGCAAGAGCAACATTCTCAGCAAAGAGGCAGAAGGGCACATGAGAACCGTCTGCTGCTCGCTGATAGCCTCTGACCTCCCAGTTTCTCTTAATCAGTGATTCCTGTCCATCTTCCATTTCCAAATGCTGTTTTGCAATATTTTCATTTAGTTGACTTCTGTCTCCATCGTCCTTTCCTCGGTAAAGCCTGGATACTGATGTTATGTAAACGTTATCTCTGAAATTCTTCTGGAGGCCCATGACTTTAACATAGTGTTTATAGTAACAAGCTATTTCCTCTGGCGTTACTCGATCACTCTTTATATTTCTGAAACAAAATTGAATGGTTCAAGTTAACATTTGGACCTTATCGGTAATTTGAATATCATAGATGACATACCATAAGATAGTCAAATTTATGAGGATTGAATCTGCACAGTGTAACTGACATTGAGTTAGTATCTTAAAATGCATTCAATTTGTTTTAGTTTTTCTCTTGATTCCCAATATACAAGACAATCTAACTTTTTTTTTAATAGTTGTAAATCTTTTCAATGTCAAGTGCTGTGGTGATTAACAAATTACGCATAACAAAACTGCAGTATCATGGTAGCTCTGTATGGAAGTGTTTTACAAAGCCAGTTTAGCGTCACGCCTGTCAACAGCACAATACTGGCTAAACTTGTACTGAGAATATTGTGAGAATACACTTACTCAGGATACAAGCAATTAAATATCATAGTAATTGTTAAGTGCTTATTTTGGAACTCTAGGTTCAATGTATTACTGGAGTCAAGTATTCTTCACTATACTTTGCAAAAGACCTCTGTGTACAGATAAGTTCAGCAAGTATGAAATTAAGTAGTTCCATATCACAGGAATGAAAAAAGCAGGTATGAAAACAGGATTATGATGTCCAAGTGTCCAATAAAAAAACAACGTTGCTGCTATTTTTTCTCATATTTATTGCATTCTCATTTATAAAAAATAAGCTGAAAATGTAATTATTTTGAACAGCTACATGATTTTTTTCTGCTTCTTTAGAAGTAAGGTCTAGCAAGAAGTAAAAAGAAACAACAGTGAACATCAGGATTGCTACTGAAAAGCGTATTTACAAGAAACTGGAATACCCATTCTCATAGAATCACAAGGTAATAGCATATGTACTTTTAAATGTTCAGGTTTCTACTCTGAATATCCTGATGAGATATTTACTGAAGAAGCTAATGCGACAGTGTGACACCTGTGACAATGAAACTTAGGAAAGCATTTTACATTACTACAAGTTTTCATTAACGTCAATAAATATGTTTGTTTAATTGTAGCATAACAGGTCAACATTCTGTTTTTAGTATTGTTGAAAACTATAATATCAACAAATTAGCTTCAGTTAATAAGCAGCTTATGGGATTTCAGTTAATAAGGAGGCAAGATTACTGTGGTTATCTAAGAAAGCGATTAAAGAACAAAGATGCAGTTTCTTCACTATCAATGTTGTCCTGAAATAAGTAAGTCTGCCCTTAAAGACATATGCCCAAGTAATTCTTCTTTTACCATAGATGATACAAGAACCAATTCCTTTACATTTGCTAGAAAGTAAAATTAAAATTTTGGAAGCAGCTTATACAGAGTGTTCTTATGTTTATCTGCTGACACAGACCTTCATGATCTAATTGTATAACTGAAGTAAAAACAGTGAGCTTGCACAAGACGGTCATTTTTCATCTCTATTTTTTTTCTGAGAAACTTACTACTTGAAAATAGCATTGGGAAATACTGAATTACGCTCTTAAAATTAAAATTCAAAGACAGCAACATTTCTGAAGCTGCAGCTTTGCCTGTAAAAGCAAATACTGAAATATACAACTTCCTGAATTACAAGAAAGCTAGTGTGCACAGCAAGTTAAGATGCATCCGCATTGAAAGAGGAACTTCCAATACTTTCATAGATTTTAAATCCCTCCCTTAATCTTTCCTCGACCCTGATCAAAACTGCTTACAGTAACAGCTCTTCTTTGTGAAATGCCACCAAAACACACATCCTGCTAATATGGACGCTTTCAATGCACTCAAATAAATTTAATAAACAAACCAAGAAGCCCTCCCTTGAACAATGAAGTTTGAACGTTTTCCAGCTCTTAAAATAACATTATCTGGATTCTTAGAGCAACTAGGTTTCCCAAATACATTTATGCGGTATCTTTACCTGCGTTTGCTAGCTGCCCACTCCTTAAAGGTGAGGCCAGGCAACTCCATCCAGTCTCCAAAACTTATTGTTAGCATTGAGCCTTCCATGGACTATGGAGAAAAAACCAAGATGCACGACTGAATACATTTCAAATGGACACTTTCACATAAACCACAGTGAAGTTCTTCACACTGTACTCATTCAGAGCAATGAAACACCAGAACATAACACAATACTAGGACATTACCTCAAGTGATGAGGAACTATTTTCATGTTACAGTTAAGATACTATTTTAATGAGCAACTACATGATCTAATAAAGTAGAACGTGAAGAGAGAAGAAATTAAACTAAAAGTTATTTTAAATACAAAACAAGAAGAAAAAAGTGTGAAACCAACAACATATGAATACATTAAGATTTTGTATAAAAGCACCTAGAAACAATGCAGACAAGAGAAAAAAGGTCAAAGAAAATACTCTTAATTATAATTCATTAAATTGAATCTAATAAGAATACATGTAAGACAGCAGTCACGGTGACAAATCCCCAAATGAAAGACAACTTCTTCCTTCCTCTCTCATCTCCTCAATGTATTTGGGCTTTGGTAATTGAGCAGTTGAAACTGCAATTGCCATTACTATCTAAAACTTGCCTTAAAGAAACTATCTTTTCTTGCCTTAGCAAGAAAAACCCCAAACCACAGAATTACCAAGTTACCCTAGAAGTTATGAAATTTTTACTCACATGCCAAGCCCCACCAGGTGGTCCTTTACCAAGCACTATATGGGGAATGTAATTATGTTGTTCAAGCTTCCAGTGCAAAACTGGAGGGTAGTCATACCCAAAGTCAGCATCAGGATGAAGCAACGTATCAAAAAGCACTGCAACTGGGTTTGAGGAGCGTCCTTCGAGGCCTTCAGACAGGTACTCCAGGTCCTAAAGTATGAAAAGAGTGATGTGTTCATGCAGCTTTCATGGTTCATCATGCTATTATGAAGTACAGAAGTTGGATTTCAACAGAAAACGCAATTAGTTCAAGCTCCATTTTAAGTAGAGCTAAGTACCTAAATCAAAACACTTTTCAGAAATAACTGCCATGATTCAGTCCTGCTATAACTCTGAATAATACATTTCATTAAAAATTACATGTTAATAACACATTAATACCAGGGCAGGTCAGTATTTGAAATTCACTGTTGAAAAATAAATATAGGGATAAATATTAAGACATCAGAACAACTTAGTAACATTTATACTAATAGATAGCAGACTACTTTTACAAAGAATTGCTAGTATTTCCAGGAACCCCATTTTGATAAAGCAAGATTGGAATCTAAACACATTAAGTTTAAAGATCAAGTAGAAAAACCTTTGACAGCTTTTAGGTAGTTCCAACACTAGCTTTATTATATTTTGAAATAATGGAGGTATTATAAGTATCATTTTTTAAAAATTAATTAAAACCAGGCTTATTTTACAAAGCAGTTAATATTGAGAACAATTTCTAAAACTCTGTAAAATGTACACATTTCAGCATCTATTAAAAAGCTGTGTTCTAAAAACTTCATGATGCTATGGCAAATACTTGAAGAGAGAATAGGGATTTGAAGAAAGCATTAGCCATAAGGCAAATTTTTGCTGACAAAGACGAAATACTTTAGCTTTCTAAACTGAGAAAAGTCTCAGAAGGTTGGGAGAGGATGAAGTACATGAAACATCTGCTGCCAAAGGTTAGGCAACTTCATCTCCTGCCAAAAAGTAAACCTTGAGACTTAAGGTCAAGATTATATGCAGACAGCACAGCACTAAAACAAAACAACACAAAAAAGCCAAACAAAACCCAAAGCCAAATAACTTCCCCACTACAAACACATATGCATGTTTGTATTTCAAATAAATAGTCACACAGGCAATATAGTTAGGGATAGCATTGTGAGTAACCCATCAGGAGTATAATGAGGTGAGCAGAAAACAATCATAACATGCCAAACAAATGGACAAATAGGGAGAAAATTTAACTGATCAAATCAGACAGAAAAACTAGATGTATACAAGGATAAGAAATACAGCACAAGAACAACTGTGAGTGCGACACAAACACTGAAGGATTCATACTGTTCAGAAAAGAAAGATGGGTTGTGTTTATGAGGATATATAATGTCCCTAATGTTACTACAAATGAAGTCTTAATGAGAATTGTACCATTTAGGAAGATTTTTAGTTTGAAGTATGTTAGAAGCATGTGCTCTTTAATGGAAATGCCCAAACATCCTAGGGCATGAAAGCTGGTGTTCCTGCATCAGCTACTCAGTGACCAAGTGGTGCTTTAGACATTTTTGGCAAGTAGAAAGAACATGACAAAGGGCAGATTGTAAAAACAAAAAACACCGCAAACAAAGAGCCCTCAAGAACCACAAAAGCCACCACATGCCCCAGAATTGGATCTAATTGTATATAAAGGTCATGAGTTGATATTTAAATTAACAGAATAGCAAAATAACTTGGTAATGCATTAGAATTACTATTAGGTAAGTAGGTTGGTTCTTCACAATGCAATCTGCAGAATTTTTTTGTATAATGCATTGCTTTTCATCTGAAGTGCCCTACATAAAATTTGTTACAAGGCACTGAAGAAGGTATACACTGCTCTATTTTACAGGTAGGAAAAACAGGCCAAAAGATTTTGGCAACCAAAGCTTACTTGATCAACAATGGAAAGATGTCGAGCCTCTTCTAATTTCGTATGCAGAATGGGGTTTGGGTGTATAGCTTCAGGAGATAAATACGGCCTGTATCCAGAGAGCAGGTAGGACAGACAAATTCCTGAAGGTCCATTTCCTATTAAAGAAAGAAGTTACTGCTTTAGTAAAAATGTCAGTAATCTAAAGTTTTTAAGTCACTGAAGAAGCAGCAACAAAATCATCCTAAAGCAGTACAATGTGATACTGTCCTGACTCAAAGCAGCCTAAAAACTTGACAGTAAAATGAAGCCTACCATAAGAACTTCCTCCAAATAAACCAAGCAAAATCTTTTTCTGATTACAGGAAATGTATGTATGACTGTTTACACCATGAAACAAAGTGCAGTTTCATAATTTAGTACGTAAAATTCACTATTCTCGTGTGAAAATGGTCTGATGGATAAGATGTGGTCTGCCTGTCAATCTCAGTGATATATGAATATTACTGCCATCTTACAACTTTGCATTCCCATTTGCACTGGGTACTACAGAACACAGAACAAAAAGACAATCTTGAGTATATGCTCTTCAAGTCTGCCTAGAAAATAGAAGGAAGAAAGGGACAAGCAGAAGGCTGAAGACAGCAAGTCAGATGAGAAATTACAGGCACAGCACAACAGCAATGCAAAAGCTGAGTACGAGATACAGTAGATAAGCAGTAAAGTACAAGAAACTCATGTAAGACCACATTCATTGTTCAGCAACAATATCAAACACCTTTCTATATCCTTTTTGTAGCATTTTATAATTCACATATGTGCATTATTGCAATTTTAATAGACTGACTTTATTTTCAAATTGTTATTAAAGGTGTGAAATGGATAAGACCTAAACATTACCATTACATAATTACTTCTATTTATTTGACTAGTACTAAACATATTTATAACATGTAAAAACAGAACTAATGTTCATGTTGCAAAGTCAGATACTGAAAGCTTGGGAAAGCTAAAGTCATAGAAGTACGTGCTATGATACAGAATTTAAACGTGTGATACGTACAGTTACTCCTATAGCTCCTCTTCCTCATTAGCTGAATGAAAAGCACAGTGTTCTCCTAATGAGGCACTATTCAGTATTTTGTCTTTGTTTTCCAACTAGAGTGGCACACGTGGTATTTACCACACACTATTCAAATTCTGGGCTAAAGACAAAGTTATGATTTATTCATGTTTTTATACAGCACTCATTGTTATGATGTTAGCTCTTACTTCCTACCATTTTGACTCTTACTGTCAAGAGTTCACCTGTCATTTCCTGTTCCCCATCACCTTTGCACACAGGGTTTCCATCACCCGTTAACAATCTCACTTCTCCAATGCCTGTCTCTTCTCCACTTTCTGATTTCCCAGTCCCTAAATTCCCCATCAGTTTGCTGAAACCCTGTTCATTCCCAGTCTCTTCATACATTGGACCTCTTTTTCCTCCTCCACCAGGCTACACTCATCACTGGTCCCCAGTAGAATTATAGCCCGTTCTTTATTACAATGCTGAGTGTGTAGACTAATCATAGGGATGGGCTACAAAAAAAATCATGTAGGCTTACTACAGATGAGTTCTTCAAAGGCATGAGAAGTCTTTAACAAGCATGTTTACTCCGATGGCCCAGAACCCAAATAAGGATGTGAGACTGCACAATGGCTCCTAACGCAAGACCTAGTTTTTGCACCAGAATAAGGAGGCAAAAATAAAACCATTAGAGTGCCTGTGTATTGTAAGGACCATAAAGCACTAGAAAAAGACTGTCTAGGAAAGCCGTGGATTTCCATCACTTCAATCTGCAAGACAGTCAAATCAAAAGTCTGTAATAAAAAGTTTAAATATTGGTGATCCTGTCTATATTATTTCCCACACCACTTGGACTCCAATTTTGCCATTTACAAAAAAGACTGTAAAGCATCTTTCAGACACTGAAAAAACCCTCACCCTCACATTATTCTACCCTCCCACAAACAGATCAGCATGAGACAGCTGGGTATGCTTCAGTCCAGGAATTTAAAGCTTAAAAGAAAATGCAAGCCCCTCATGTCACTGACTTGCCACATGAGATGGATGAGAGAATCTTAGCAATTCGCTGAAACTATCCATAACAAAAACATATGAAGTTGTGAAAACACTCTCATCATGCCTACAGTTTACAAGCATTCCCACAACTGAGTAAATTCTTAACTATTTTTAAAATTCTATCTTGTGCACAGTAAAGAATTTTGTTTCTTGTTACAAATGCATTGCTGGATTTAGTTTTTCTTACTGGGCTGTAAAGGAAGCTATGTCCACAATGAAAAGAGAAAAATGTGTGCCATCTCCAAGGATGGTGTGCTAAAAAACTATCCCTATTGTGTAGGACTAAAAAGAACCAAATGGCTAACAAAAGTTCCAAAAACAAAGGCAGGCAAGGGACAAGGAAATTACTAAGGATGGGATTATGCTAAGGTGAATTACTGTCACTGAGCTCCCTAGCCACTCCCCTGGGACCATCCTGAGAGCCCATCCAAAACTAGTTCCTATTCTTTCAGCAGATTGAGTCCAAGGGAAATAAATTCCCTTGTGGATATGCTTTCAGGAACACACAAGATGAAGGTTCAGCTGCAAGGCCTGCAATTAGACTTGCTATGATTTTCCCTTGGTGGGGGGGAAAAAAAAGGCTTTTTGAAATAAGAATTTTATACCCGAGGAGTTTGCTTTTAAATTATGAGTCTAAATTTAAAGCAAATAATCAACACCAAACATCATAACACCCTTGTTATTTGGATGAGAATTTAAAATATTGTGTTTACACAGTAAGTATCAAAACTAGTGCAGAAGATTAAAGTGTTTAGCACAGAACATTCTCTAGACACAGAGCTCTGGCATGAAATTCTTCAATCTCAACTCATTCAAATGGAATTTATTAGTTTCTTCCCAATTTCTTGAGGACAGGTCCAGCACAGAAGTTACTTAATATTACCAAATCAGCTTACTACTCTATGCAGAACTGCAGTACAATACACAGCACAAGCTTAGAATCAAACCTTAAATTGGACATCATACAGAAAAAAAGGGGATGGTGAAGATAAAGAAAGGCCAATGTATATTATAGCTCCATCATCAAGTTAACTGCTTACACATGTGTGGACAACAACTATCTATGCATTCTACATTACTAAATTATTTTAGACCTTTTTTAAGGCTCTTCAGACAGCCAATGAATTAGAGATAATAGGCTGCCAATGGAGAAGATCAGCTTGTGAAGTATCTAAAACATATCTGCAAAAAAGCGTTTGGGCAACGTATTTGTTTTTCTAGGAGAAATAGTCAAGGCAGCTGTGTTTGGTGTCAGCACACAGAAAGGCATTCTAGACAAAATAAGTATTGAGCACAGGTATTTCCATAATGCATATTTGCAAAACTAGTGAAAACTGAGTCATTAACCATATGGCAAACCTATACTAAAGTTGACAAAACGCCCAGGAAGTTGTTGCTCTTCGCTGTGATGCAGAACTCGAGTGATTCATGTCTGTCACATCCACGTAAGTGTATTACATGAGCACTATTTTAAGCTATCGTGAAGAGAGCTTTTTGAACAGGCACTGAACAAGCACCAACCTTTCAAAGTTGTGGAGATTTACTGTGAGCACACAACACTGAAACACCATTCTCTGCAATCTCTGCTTGTTTGCAGGTATAATTAAAGCTGTTGGTTTGCTAAAGTCTCAGCAGCTTTGGACTAGATTATTGCAAACCCCTTTTACTCCAGATCTTCCTTTATCCCTCATCAAGTCATGGCAGTAAGGAGCTGGTGACCAGCTGTTGCTGAAAAACCTTGGCCCAATACAAATCATCCTGGGATTCTCAATTAGCTGTGCACCTAAGGAGCCTGCTCTGTCTGCTATCCTGTCAGTCAGCAACATTTTACAAGGACAAGCCTTTAACTGTTTAATCAAGACTATAACCGATTGTTTTAATCTGTTTGAATTGACTTGGATTCATTTTGGAAAAGATGGGACAATATTCAGATGTTAGTGACGGATGCCACAAAGAAAAAGGCAATTGATGAGAAAGGTTAGCATCTAATCAACAAACAGCACACATTTTACATTATGTTTTACTCTGCCCCACCTGACCCCACAAATTTCTACCAGTGCACCATCAACAACGTCCATGCATCCTGAAGCAGACGTATCACATTAATCAAACCCTATGTGATCAACACTAGAAACAACAGTTCTTCCATTAAGACTCATGTATCTGCTGCCAAATAATGCAGCTTACTTTCTCAAAGCAAAATTTGAATTCAAAATATACTCCAATATCAAGTCCCTTAACATCATTTTATGCTGTTGTTAATAATAACAACTCTATTACTCTAATGTATGTCTTCACTGTAAGGATGCTAAGCATTAGTTATTTAATGATTAATTACTTCATGCAGAAGGTCTATAAAGGCAATGGCAGTGACGGAGAATCTTAAGGAAGCAAAAAAAACCTCACCTATTACCACCACAGGCAGAGTAAGGAGCGAGTCCCCAGGCAGAACAGTTTCTTCAATTAAAGGCATTCTTTTAATCTTCCTGCCAAGGCCGTCACCAAAATACTGGACAAAGGAATTCAAAAGCTGTCCTTCGGTTTCAGGGCTGCTGTAACTTCTAATTAAGAAGGACAGATGGGAGAAAAGTAAAATGAAACAGTTGAATTGTTGTCAGAACAGTCTCTTAAAAAATAAAGCTGCTTTTGATGCTCTACTTTAAGAGCTAAGGAATTGGCAAAACTGAGACCAACACAGATATGCTTCATCCAATCTACAAATTTTACTCTTCAGCACAGCTTTTCTAACAGAAGATTTTTTTAAGTCTACTTTCTCCTAAAACTCTTACAGAAGGATAACAAAAAGGCACAGATGGCTCTGCAGAGATGCAGATTTCTAATTTCAGTTTATACAAAGCTAAAGTATAACCAACAAGCATTATTTTGATCCCACACACAGCAGAACTCTCTCCTCATTATCCTTATCAAAAGCCAGCCAATTAACAACATGAAGGCCAGCCAAAGGCTGAAGGAGCGGCAAAGGTGCAACAGCAGCTGTTTGCATCCCTTCCTACCTGCTGAGCAGTGTAGAGGACTTTGCCTCAACAAATTTCTGTTCAGGTAGAAGTAAGGCCCATGAAGTTGGAGAAAAGTGTGATCCCAGTAAACCCTTGACACAGCCCATTTTACCACTGTTAAAGGAAAACTTCTTATAAAAGGAATTGCCATGCAGTTAGGCCAGCCACTGCGCCACTGACAGCTTTCACCCCAGTCGTTTTCCTACATTTCTCAGTTCTTTCTGTGCAACATCCACTTAAGTTCCTCTCATAACTCTTCACTGTCTAAATGTGCTTCTACACTACAAAGACTTGTTCTTATGCTGTTTACTACTTAATTATTTAGAAGCCCTTTCTGAAGCCTTTCCAGGTCGCTGAAGAAGCACATGCTGTCTGTTTAGATAGAAAGGCAGGGGAAAACTAAAAAGAGTTTGTTAATCAACTGAGCTAAACATTCTTCTTTTTACAGTTTTAATTATTAACTTAATAAATAAAAGTACTCCTATGTATTTCCTAAGAATCTGCGTATCTTAAAGCTATTCTAGTATTTCAGGGATTATTTTCTACACAGGACCAAAAGCTAAGACAGCGATCCAATTCCCACAGCCTTCAAGAAGCCAAGTATGCTCCGTGCCACCTCAACTCCCACAACACTGAAGGTTCTGCTATGCATTTCAAGAGTCTTTCCTCAGCAGGCAAGCCTGAAGCAGAGACAGAGCTGTACAGTAATAACAGCACTAGCACACACTGTAATACATCTCTCTGATGGTTATTTCCTTGTTAAAAAGGGTGGAGAGTTATTCTAAGGTTGTATTTATTTAATAAAGTACTTGGTGTCTGTATCCCCTGCGCTACACTAGAAAAAGTTTGCAAATTACATGCTTACTGCTTGACTACAGCTGTGCATTTGCTCTTCATGATCTTGGAGACACACAGCACGCAAACAGCGTGAGTTAGATGAAGAAGAGTAAAAGGCAGGGAGGGTATCTAATCATCATACTGCTTTTTCCCACCTCTGCTGGCACAGGCAGACTACTGTATTATTTCCCAGCCATTGCTCAAAGTTAATTAAGGCAATTTTGCAAAAAACAGGCTCAAAGGGCACATGCATCTTTTAGTGTGGTTTTAATGTACTTGCTGTGCTAGGTGGAAGGTAAAAACCAAAACAAACCTTTCAAAAGCTCTTTTATGGTATGTATGCAGAGTGTTGTAGGCTACAAAAGAATCTTTAACAATAAAAATGTTGCTTTTGTGCAGCTTAGATAGCATACCACTAACTACCCAACTGGTTTAGTGAGAATCTAATTTTGCATAGAAACATCCACACACAACACAGAGTTTCTCAGCCACTGTGCACACGAAGCAGATGAAGGTCTGTTGCCAGGAGCATGTCCTTCCCTTTGCAAGGACATCACACCAGAACTCAGTAAGATCTTAAGTCAGGGGCCACCATCTTCCTAACCTCTGAAAAACACTGAAAGCCACCAACTACCAGAATTTTTTATCTTGATAAAAACTCGTGGTAGACAGCTTCGCAGCAGTAGGAATTTGGTAAAAATACCTATGGCTCTGGTCCTGCAGAGATGCAAGCGGGCACACAGATGAGTCAGTTCCGAAGCTGGTACTTAGTTTACCTTATGCTGGTCATACTAAATAGCCTCAAAATTTACATTCTGTCAGGCACCTAGGTTCTAAACATGTTCATCTTTTTTATTTGCTTTTCAGTTATTTTTAGTTGATGTTAACGCATTAAGAGAAAAAACATAGCATATACATACACATTTTTCTCCCCTTGAAGACAAAAATAACAGTTCTTTCATAATAATCATCTTAATTTGCTGCAAGTTATTAAAAGAAGAGGTGCTTTTTTTCAGGTAACAGTTCTGAAAGACCCTAGGATTCCCTACATACTTTGAGCAAACGAATAGTGGGCGGTTAAGAGAAAACTCGTTACGTAAAAGGAATTTAAACGTGGTCTCAAGTTGGCACTTTGGGAAGCAAATTTAACATCATCAGACTGGCGGAGTTGGTTTTTTTTTGTAGTGACCAAGCAGGGCGATGTCCGCCGGGACAGGAATCTCCGCTACGAAGCCTATAGCAAAACCGAGCATCTGCAGGCGCTGGTTTCCTACCACCCCGGCTGCGCCTCGGCGTTGCCCAAGGTCAGGGCGCATCTCCTCGGGCCGCCCCTCGCCCCCACCCC